TATGGTAGGGGGCTGTGGTTGTGGCTCAGTGGTAGAGCACTTGCCTAGCATGTGTGAGACCGTGGGTTTGATCCTTTGCACCACATAAAAATAAATAAAAATAAAGGTGTTGTGTCCAATTACAACTAAAAAATAAATATTAAAAAAAGATGTAATGATAGAATGTCAAACCAGAACAGCTGAATAAAAATGATTGTCTAGTTTTAATGTAGTTATTTAAGGACATGTACTTATATAAATGAAGACTGGAAAACAACGTGCCAAACACGGGAGTAGTTGAGCTAGGCTTATGCATATCCTCACATGTGCTGCGTTGCCTTTTTTGTTTCTACTTTATCAAGTCTAGTTCTTTATCTAATAGTTGTTAAGATTTTCTATTTTTCTTTGCTGATGTATTTTAAAGCATGTTATTATCATGACAAATTATCACTTAATATTTTGTAGTACATCAAGAACATTTTCCTCCTAACCATTATGGCCCTCTGGTGCTATGATGGTGACTGTCCCCAGGCTGATGGGCTGGAATGACAGTCCCTCAGCCCTCTGGGCCTCTCAGCTTGGAGCCCTAGGAGGAGGAGGGCAGCTGGCTCAGAGAGTCAGCTCCATCTGCAAGTAGAACTGCTTCTTTTTTCCTGCCCTCTGCTCCTGGGAGCCAGGGGCATAGGCTTTTAGACCCTTGTAGCCAGCTGGCAGTGAGGAGTGGGAAACCAGCCAGCAGGTCTGTGCTTGGGGTGAGGAACTTTGGAACGCTGTCTTTGTCAAGCCAGTTGTGGAAGGTCCCAAGATTTCACACAACCCTCCCTGCGTTGCTTGGTGCTGCCAATTCCCAAACACCTCGCTGAGTTGCTGATTTACCTTCTCTTTGGTTTGTGCAAAAAACGGTCTCTTCTTTTGATTAGCTGAATCTTCTATATTCAATCAAGCCTTTAAAAAAATATGGAAAGAAGGCTGTGACTACCTAATAGTTACTGTAAACTTTATAAAAAACACACAAAAAGTAACCAAAAAACATTATTTTCCAAAATTACCCAAATTAGAGAACATAGTAAAATAAACCTCCTAATGTTTACCAACCTTGTTTCATTCTCTTTTGCATAAATATTTTAAAGTAAATTCAAAGCCTTATATCAGTTCACCTGCTAATACTTTATATCTGACAAAAAGGTATTTCATCTAATACCCACTCCATGTTGAAATTTCTCCAGTTATCTTAAAAATGTCTTTTTACAGTTGAATTTGGGATCCAAACAAGTTCCACTCATAGCATTCGTTCAAATTTCTAAAATTTATTTTTATTTTTTTTATAATTTAAAAATGCTTTTTTTTTTTTTTTTACTTCCTGTTTATTTGGTTAGGAAACCAGGTCATTTGTTCTTTAGACAAATGAATCTGAATCTGCCTTTTCCCCTATGGTATAGTTGAACACATTCTTCTCTCATATTTTCTGTAAACTGGTTGTTACAACTAGAGAACTAATTAGATTTAGTATTCTTTTGGGGAAGGACAAGAATATTTCACAAGCTACAAACTTTGTATGTATTACTCAGGAGGCATGTAAGTTGTGTGTTTCCCCCCTTTAGAGATGATTACAATTATTAGATTCAGGTGTAGTCATCTTCTCAGCTAATGATTTGGCATTCACCGATGAAACTTTCTTAGATTCATTTTTTTATTAAGAGTAAAAAATAGTGGTTTTCTAATTCTGCCATGACTTTTTATTTGTCTGTATACAAACATATATATGTGTGTATTTGTATACAAAGAAATTATATATATTTTAATCCTGGGGATTGAATTTAGAAAGGGTCTGGAGCATGCATGCTAGGCACACTAATATTGAGCTAGTTCCCAGTTATTTGTTGTTTCTTCATATTGCCTTTTTAAAGCTCAAGTCTCTAGCAAGTGGCATTACCCAGTTCACACATTTCCCCTAGGAATGGGTTCTGGCTAAGTTCTTGGCATAGCTGGACCTTGGCTGCTCTAATTCTGACACTGCTTTGAGAAATGGCCTGGAACCAAGTACTCTGAGGAAGGTTTCTCTCTTCCTCAGCTTTAAATTTTTAAGGTAATGACAATTATAGACAGTGTCAGCTTTTTGCCATGGCATAGTTTTGATGTCTGTGTGATATGATTTGAGAAGACCTGAAAGATCAGCCTATAAAAATACTCTCTCTTCTCCAACTATAGTGTCTGACATTTTCAACACTGGTATTCTCCTTTCAGAGCCTAGGGAATACTTGTGAATGGTAATCAGGCCTAGGGAGTACTTATGAATTTATCTGGGAGAAAGGATGAGAGGAGCAAAGAAAAATTCATTAATAAACATATTACCAGCAGTTTGTCAGTCTTATTTTTTGCTATCTCCATTTGTTTCCATGTATAGTTGAGACTGGACTGTGTTGCTGGAATGTGTAGCTGAGAATGGAACATGGAACTGTTCACATGGATGAGGGAAGATGGTTATGACTGGAAAAGATAATCTGCATACCGGGGGCTGAGTTTAGGGTTTTATATGGGAAACTTCAAGAATGACAACTATGGAGAAGGTAAAAGACAAAGGGAGGAAATGATGATGGCAGTCAGAAAACAGATGGCTTTCTTTATACTTTATCAAAGATGATGCTATTGTTTGGACAAGTGCCCCCAAATGTCCATATATATAAAGGCTAGATACCCCGGGTGGCGCAATTGGGAGGTGCTGTGAACCTTTAGAAGATAAGGCCTTATAGGAGATCCTTAGGCCATCAGGAGTATATTCCCAAAGGGAATTGTAGGATCCTGGCGTGTCTTCTCTCTCTGCTTCCTGGTTCATGAGGTAGATGTAAGCAGTTTACTTATGTGCTGCCACCATGATGTGGTACACCCTCAACAGAGGCCAAAAGCAGTGGGGCCACCTGATCTTAGTCTGAAACCTCCAGAACCGTGAGCCAAAATAAACTCTTCCTTTTTATAATTTCCTTAACTATTTTATTATAGTAATATGAAGCTGACTAATAGGACTCTGCACAAACTTTCAGCCTAGCATAGAAAGAAAAAAGAAATTTCTGTTCTTTTTGTTCATTAGTAGTTGGTCTAAGAGCATGAAAAAGTTGGATAATGAAATTCTAGGGTAATAAAGAAAAGGAAGTTCAAAGGATGAATTTAATCAAGATAGAGGGCTTATAAGAATGTGAGAAATGGGAGAGATCGCTTTTTTAAAGGTGAAAAATGACAGATTGATCCCTTTTGCCATAGAAAAAAGTTCAGGTTGCTGTTTTAGAGAAAGAGAACATTTTCCCTTTCCATCTACTCAACAACCAGTTCTAATAAGAAGTTACAGTATTTTTATCTTTATGATAATTTCAGAAACAGTAGCCCATTTATTCCTAATAATGTTACTGAAAAATACCAGTAATTATATAATGACTGCAGAAATCACATTTTTAAGTAAATGAAGAGGAAAATGATTTTTTTTCTTATTATATGTCCCCAATTTATATGTAATTACCAGCTATAAAAGAACCTTCCTGGTATGCTTAATAACTGCCTTTTGTCCTTGCATGAAAAGTCGAGTTTTTTTCATTCAAGGTTTTGTTCTGCTTAGCTTATTTCTGGCTGGTTGGGGAGATAGAGGCAGCTGCTTTATGACACGTCTCACAAGCCTTCCACAGATCAGGCAATGTATTGCTCTGGAAACCAGCTGGCCATGTTCTTTGCCTGTCAGACCCAATGCAAGTGAGGAGAATTTGGGCAAATCAGTGGAAATCTGCCAGTTCAGGGAGAAGTGGTTCTTGCTCAAAAACTATGATTGTTTTAAGCCAACAATTTTTAATTACCTGCGACTCCTCTGATTGGTAGATAATAGCACATAATATATGAACATGCATTTTTCCCCCATAAATTTTTGTCTTTACTGGCAATTTGCTCCTTTATGAAGCATGTTTTGAAAGCAGGGTAGGAAATTAAAGAGAACAAAATAAGACAGAGCTTTCTTTTCCTAATAATGATGGAATCAGGTGGTTATATGTCTGCTGTCTATAAATTGCAAGAGCAAGAATAGTAAGTTCCCTTTTTTTTTTTAAAGAGAGAGTGAGAGAGGAGAGAGAGAGAGAGAGAGAATTTTTAACATTTATTTTTTAGTTCTTGGCGGACACAACATCTTTGTTGGTATGTGGTGCTGAGGATCGAACCTGGGCCGCACGCATGCCAGGCGAGCGCGCTACCGCTTGAGCCACATCCCCAGCCCCATAAGTTCCCTTTTAACTAAAAAAAACTTTTAGCTTCTTCTCCTTCATAGATTTATTATCTATCTATGTTTAGATAGCTAACATAATTTTTGCATTTATGTGTTCATATATATACCATAGATTCTTTATAAAGTAAAATCTTTTCTAATATTTCAATGAAATAGTATTTGGGCTACATATACAAAGATTCTCTTAGACTATAATGTTTTTGCATTTGTATATACAATATATAAATGCATATACAGAGTGTTTATTGATAATAAAAATGATGTGTACACATTAGAAAGTCTTCATTAATTCATTTGTGGGCTCCTTTGTTCATTTTTAATTCATTCATTCATTAAACTTATTGAATGCTGGTTAATGACCCATATTGCACTGGGACTACAGTATATGGATGGTCAAGAGGAACTGTGGCTGCTGAAAGGAGTAAGGCAAGTGGAATCAGAAAGCTTATCTGGGAGAGGTTGAGAAGTACAATAATTTGGAGGTAAATGGGAAGTTCAGAAATGCAAAGTCCATGGACATTCAAAAGAAGGAGTGAATAATCAGTTTTCAACTCAATGATTATGATGATTTTTTATTAGAGTAAAAAGAGAGAGGTTTTCATTTGTTCTGAGTGGGCAGGATGGCAGGACAGATGGGTCCCAGAGATCCTACATATTTGTGCAGATAGTGCCTTGGGAGCCAAGGCAGGCATGCATGCACCTGATTCAGCTTGTGATGTAGGTGAGAGGAAACTTAGCTCTCTTTACTTGGTCTCTTGTGACCTTGCACATCATATCACGGAGCCACAGATATCTAACTGATCACTGAAGTTGGAGCAGGACTAGGTTTACAGATGGAAAGATGAAGGTACAGAGGAATGATGTGTGGACTGCTGTTTGTTCATGCTACTGCCTGTTTAGAATGCTCTTTTATTTTTTCAGCGTAGAAGAAAGGTCCAGTTCAAATTATTCCCAGTGTGTGTGTGTGTGTGT